ACGTTTGTTATAATTGTTACCAAGTCGTATAGCATTTAGAGCTTTTATGGGTAAGTTTAGGGAAGAAAAAACTGAGTTAACTAGAATTAATTCGTCAGGGGCACTGTCAGAGGTGCATTCCGGGGCATTGAAAATAATAATATTACACTTTCTGCGATCTCTATCAGATACTTCGCTACAAAAGTCTGTTTTTTCAAAATGCGTAATTTTTTTTTCGAGGACAGAGATTTTTTCCTTTAATGTGTTATTTTCAGAAATAACATTGTTCAGTAATTGTAAGGTCTCATCAAGTTTTTTTGAAATTTTTGATTCATGCTGGGTAAACTTACTTTCCAGAGACTTTACAGATTTAATAAGTTCTTCAAGACTTATACTAACAGGTTTTTTTGTAGCTGTTGGAGACATATTTTGTGAACAGTATGAACACTTCCACGAATTTAAACCCGAAGTATTAAAGACACAGTTTTTATGAAAAAGTAAATTACAGAGACAACAGGTGATAGAGAGTTGGTTTCTATTAATAGTTAATGAACATAATACACATAAAACCATAACATTATATTATCTTAAAACCACGAGTCGTAAACTATACGTTAACGGACGGATGCGCGATAAACACGACCGTCACAAGCAGAGTCTAGAACTGTATTATCTAGTAATCTATGAATTTCTTAACAAAAGACAAAAGGTAATGAGTGGTACTTATTGAACGTTCTATAATAATCACCTAAATCTTGTGACAAAATATATATTAAGTTCAAATAATAATGGCTTTGGGATGTAAGTTAAAAAAATATGCTCTGCTGTACAGTAAGTTACAAGTGAGTCACTGTATAATGGATGGTATGAAATTTGAATTCAATGGTATAATATCATTGTATAAGAAAAACGATTCTGATATTAAGAAATATANGACTAGTATTTTCGTTCCTATCAAAGCGAAACAGTTGATAATCGGTAAAACCTAGCTCTGAGTCACAGAAATCTGCAGTGAGCCATGTTTCAGTTAATATACAATAGTCAAAATCGAACAGAGAATAATTACAACGCAAAATATCTAATTTTGTGTTTATTTAATTTTTTATATTATATACAGTATTCAATATATTTGATTTTCATAATTAATAAAAATTATATTTGATATTTAAAAATGTTAAGAAGATTAGTAATCCTATAAGTAACCCATAATAAGTAATACTAACGACATATTGATGCACATATTTAATTTAATTTGCTTAAATTAATTAATATAGTAGAACCTCAATTAACCGCCCACACAGCATATATATATTTAAAATTAAAAAAATATTTGAAAATAAATATTTAATTTTCGTTGATGATAAGTTATTAAATATTTATTAATGACTATTAAATATTGTTTGAACCGTTTCGGTAAGTTTTCATAAATATTGAAAATTAATATTTAATGGTAATTTTTTTAATATTTCATTTGAATTATATAAATACAGTTTAATCAAACATAAATGTTACAATTTATAATTTTATATAATACTGTATTATTTTAAATACATACATAATAATACATCCTATTATGATATATAATTATATTCATATTATGAACATAGGAGAGGGATTCAACATAATATAATATTACAATTCAGTGGCGCAAATTTCCTTGAGCAATGGAGGCACTTGCCCCTCCACCACAAAAAAAAGTAAAATAAAAAACTTAGTTGTGTATGTGTTGTGATTGTTGGCTCTGTGTAGCTGATATACATTATTTATTTATACAATTACATTAATTGATACTATAATATATTGTATGAATAACTCAAAAAAATCGCCGACTGGTAAATTTTTTAAGTTTGGCCCCCCCTAAAAATAAGGATTTTTGCCACTGAATATAATATAAATATATAAAATCAACCACAATTAAGACGATAAAAATATTGTAAGTTTTTTTTAATTTTAATTACTAAATGATGAGTACACTGAGAAAAAATCAGAAGTCTAAATTATCTTCTACATCTACTTTGATGTTAAAACTTTTTTAAAAATGTATGAAAACGTTATTTTAAGTATCATATAAATAAAAATTATGTGTATTTTAACAATGTTTTTTAAACTATTTATTTAGTAAACTAATGTAAGTTCTTTTTTTCAATTTGCTTCTTGATATTGAATGGTGCTTAAGCAAGAATATATTTGATTATGTCTTCCAATTCATTTTGTAAGACTTGCTTAAATTTTGCTTCAGTTTTGACAGCATCTGAAAAACCATAATAGTGAGTATTAGTTATTAAAAATATATTACGATTATAACATGTATTGAAACCATATAAATACATCAAAAACACTTTTAAAAAGTTAATCGATTTAATACATCTTAACTTCATAATGATAAGTGGATGCTAGCCTTGGTATAAATAACTGCAGATCATAACTTTATAAAGCATGAAGATATTTTTTTCTCATAAATGAATTTAAAATGAAAATAGTTTGGTCGCTAGCAATTATAGCTGGCGTGGTATAATTATGCTTTGTAAGTATGACGCCAAATTAGCCGTCAGTATTACTGGGCCCCAATATATAACTAACTCTACTATAAATATATATATTATGCAAAATTAAAAATATTAAAAACTTGATTAAATACATTTTGGGGAGCTTATAGTAGTAGTTAATGTAGTGTTGAATTAATTTTTTTTCTCTGGTAACATAGGTTATCATTATAATATTATAAAATGTTAACATTTTAATAATGTACCTATACATAATCTTAACAAATATAACTGAACAAGTTGTCAAGGTTGAAAATTTATTTTTTCCTTTTTTTCCTGTGTATGAAAAGTCTTTAAGCAATTCGTCTTTAAATAATTTACCCATGAGCCTTTTAACCACTGCCTTGACATGTTTACCGCTTAAATAGGATAGTTAACTTACCTGTAGGTATTATAGAAATGTATAAAAATTGAATAATTTTTAATTTATTTTAATTTTGGAATTGAATATTATAATATAATTCCTTACTAAATTAATGCGAAATGTACCATCGTTCTTCATATATTTTAAGGTCTTGTAAGTTATCTACTGGTAAAGTGGTAATGAATAACTACCCGTAACGTCTGTTATTGGTGTAGAAGACTTATTCATAGAATCAGACGATGACTGCATTTTTTCTAAAATACTTTCCATTACATCAAATCTTTGAGTAAGATCTCTCTCTTTGATTATTTACAATTCTTCTTAATTTCTTGTTTTACGAAAGACAGAGTATGGAGAACTTCTTTTTGAAAATCTTTACCTATTCGTGATAAACAAGAAAAATATAATTATTAATGAAAAGGATATAAATAACAAGCTAAATAAAAGAACAAATTAGGTGAATATTAACAGCATAATCTGCACATTAAAGTAAACTAACCAAGTTCAGTTGGTTCTGAAGTTACTACCAATGATCTAGACGCCAGCGGTGTTGCAATTATTTATTGTGGACTTTTGTTATTTGCTAAATACAATTGAGTGTTAACAAGTTATAATTTGTGTAATCAAATTATATTTACTATGTATGATTTCAGCCAATCTTAGTGAATTAGGATTGTCGTTGTTACTACCAGCTGTATAATTATTTTCATTATTATCATCATCACCACTGATTTTATAACCTACCAAAAAAATAAATATACGATTTTCATAACTAAATAAGTTATGATTTTATAGCTTAAAGAACATATTAGGAAAATTGAATTTATATATTGTCAATATTTGCTTAAGATACACCAATAAAATGCTGAGCTTAAGAGATCATTAAAACAAAAATATGATATAATTCTATACATTTTTAAACATAAAATATTTTAATCAATACTTATAAGTTAATTTAATAATTTATTAAATATTAAATATTATTATATTATAGGGGTATGCATCAAATAAAAAAAGTATTAAGTATTTCAAAGGATAACTTTTTTTATTTAACCTTTCATAGAAATAAATACTAAATATGACATTGTTTTACCACTTACTCATTATTCCTTTAACATAGCTTTCAATAGGAGATTCATTATAAGTCAATTTTTTTACTATTGATGACTTATGAATAGAAGCACCAATACTAGCTGTTGGTCGTTTAATGGATTTGATGGTAATGGATGAATTAAGCTGAACTTTCTCTGCTACAAATCAATTAGAATAAGATCAAACTATTATAATTATAATACAAATTTGTTATTTTAAATTATACACAATTAAAATAAATAATTAAATTACCCTTTTTCTTTTGAGATGGTGACCAGCCAGCTGGTCTTTTCAAAGATACGGTTTTATTATAAACTTCATCTTCAGAATCTAAATTTGTAATTAATTTTATTGAATTAATTATAAATATTTAAATGGACATAAATTAATAATTTAAGATACGATCAATAAAATTTGTATTCCTAAAAAAATAAGACCATTACTATTATAAATTATGGTAAGAACTTGTTATTTTAACCCTTTCAAGCCCAATACATTAAATTTTTTCAAAAAAAAATTTCTGTTCTCATTTTTGGTTTTTGTAGAGTTAAATTAAGGGAAAAAATTTTTTTTTGTAATTTTTGAAAAACTTACCAACATTTTACAGACATGATGCTTAAAATTATCACTGGAAACTTAGTAGCGATTAAAAATTTTTTTTTTTATTTGCCAGCATATTTTCCGAATTACAAGAATTGAATTTATTTAGTGAACTCATAACCCCAAATCAAACTCTATATTACACAACACAATAGGTTAGATTAGATTAAAATCATATACATAAAATAAAATATAAATCAAACTGTGTACTAAATTCAACGACTTGTTGCTTTTTATTGATAAAAATATAATAATAATCAAAACTTAATGAAAACAAAATTTCAATAAAAACTTTAAAATATAACATTATAATATTCCTATTATAACAATAAGTACTTACTTAGATCGATATTCAGACTTTTTTATGGTAGTTTAAAAAACAATTGTTTTTTAAATTGTAACATAAGTGTAACTCACAATTATCACATTTTGTTGTAGAATAACATGTAATACAATTTGTACATCTTTGTTTTTGTAATGACTCGAATTGGCCAATGTCCAGTTTCATCATATCTAACATCGTTAGTTGGTCTTGGAGTAAAAGTTCTTATTTTTTTAGTTAGTGGTGTGTTAGATAATGGTCTACCTCTTTTTGGCGTTTGAACTTTTCCACATTGTAATAAAGCATGAGATATTTCTAACTTAAATTTTAATAAGCTCATAGTTTTTTCATTTAACTGCTTACAATGTCTTCTATAGAGTAACCACGAATTTACCACACACATATCAAGCAAATGATACACAATGCGTAAATAATATCGTCTTACTCTTATATTTACACGATATAGCTCCACTAGCATATCATGTAAATCAATGCCTCCCATATAAGAATTATATTCACCAATTGACGCTGGTCTAGGGACATCAACTTTTTTTTTTGTGCAACAGACCATCTTTTGACATTCTCCACAGGTAGTGGTCCTTTGTAATTTTGAAATTACATGCACAATTTTATTATCATTCCACTTAGTTACAACAATATTGTTATTTGTCTATCAAACTTGCCACGTTCTTCAGATTTCAATTGCTTATCATTTGCTAATACACAACCGGCAATACGATTAGAACGTACTGTCCCGATACTTTGAACTCCAACAAATTTTAACTTGCATTGCAAGTTGTAGGAATTAAACCAATTGTCCATAGATACCTAAAACAAAAATGATTGTATATTTATGTTAACTTAATGTAAAATTTTAACAATCAAGTTATGAAGTACAAATATTACCTTATAATTTTCATTTTTTGGAATACATTCAATAAGTCGCATGACAACATCTCCACTAATACCTAGGCCATGGTTCGATGGAGGTAAAGTACCTTTGCCAACATATATTTCAAAATCATGCACTAGTCCATTTGATGAAGCCAGTGCAAACATTTTGATTCCCCATTTATGAGGCTTATTTTTATTGTACTGCTTCATAATTGAGCGACCTTTGAAAGGAATAATTATTTCGTCAACAGCTATATACTCATTTACATGAACTTTTTTCATGTTATCCCTTATAGCATTCAAAAAAGGTCTGATTTTAAACAATTTGTCATGTTGGCTATGTTTTCTGGGTAACATATGAGTATTATCATTAACGTGAAAGTAAGACCTTAGGTTGTCAAATCTGTTTCTTGCTATTACATCAGAAACTATAGAAAAACTGGTCTGATTATTCCAAAACATTCTATAAGATAGCATTTTGACAATACCCATGTACCTAAAACAAAGCATGAGAGGTTTGAAGAAACAGAATGGCTTATATTAACTTATAAGTGAGAAATAAATACATACATTTGAATTCCAATAAATTGTTCTATCTCAGCAGATGATGTAGCAATGCATTTTCCTGACTTCTGTACAGAATATATATTAGTTTGTTCACATAAATTTTGAATAATATCATCATCAAAATACTGTTTAAAGTATCCATAGGGAGATAAAATGTGAGTAGGTGGATCAGGTAAGTTTCCTTTCCATGTTGAATCAGGGTTTTTTGAAATGGTACCTATAATATTAAAAAAGCTAATATTTCATTACCTAACATTTTTGTTGACAAATTGTCCATAAAAACTAATACCTTTTCCCAATTTGGACCTATCCTGACTTGTTCATCAAAAATCTATTTTCTGCTTCTATGTCCCTCTGGTTAAGCATAATTAAATTATTTTCAAAATTGACTTCATCCTCTTCCAATAAATTATTTTGAATAGGAAATAATTCCTGAATTATTATTATAATATTAGTCAATAAATGTATAGTTAAATCTCGAGTTTAATAGAATATATAGAGATACTTACTTCGGTATCATGTCTTTACGCCGACGGTATCAACGCCGACGGTATCTACGCCGATAGCATCGACGCTGACGGTATCCACGCCGACGGTATCAACGCCGACGGCATTTACGCCGACGGCATCTACGCCGACTAGTATCTACGCCGACGGAAAAAATGCCGATGAGTATCTACGCCGATAGTAAATACGCCGATGGTATTTTTTTTTACAAAACGAATGTTTTTCTTTGGGACTAATATGAAACTGAAAATTATGGAAAATGAATTATGTTATTAAATAATTAAAAATAAAATACCTAACTCGTGTTGCCTAGTTTTTTTTAATAATAAATATTTTTTGGCTCTGAAAAGAGCCTTTTTATGCCCTAAAAAGGACATTTTTTAATACGACGAGTGCCCCCTAAGCATGGCCATTTAGCAAGATTGGAATTGAAAATTATGAGCAATTCCCTGCAAATAATCGGAGGTGTCGCGATTCTCATAGTCTTCAACGATTTCTTTAATACGCAATGCTGTGTCTCGATAACACCGTCGTCCCTGTGCTGGTGGTAATCCAGCAATGTACTGGTTGATTTGGAATTCATTTAGGCTCTGCTGATTTTGCAGACCCTCAATGAATTTCCAAATAGATGGATGATTTGCTCCTAAAAGAGAGCTGAATCCTCGATGCCAGCCTTCAACGGCGTTGTTAGTTTTGGGTAGGTCATTCAACGATGCCTCGTAACAATTTCAGAGGCTCAGCTTAAATTTAGGAAACATTCTGCCAAGGCCGGTTCGTCGGGGCTTTCCAATCCACGTGTATACCACGGACAAAATCAAAGAAGACAAACACATACTGTGTTGTCGGACACAGCATTGCGTATTAAAGAAATCGTTGAAGACTATGAGAATCGCGACACCTCCGATTATTTGCAGGGAATTGCTCATAATTTTCAATTCCAATCTTGCTAAACGGCCATGCTTAGGGGGCACTCGTCGTTTTAAAAATGTCCTTTTCAGGGCATAAAAAAAAGGCTCTTTTCAGAGACAAAAAATATTTATTATTAAAAAAAACTAGGCAACACGAGTTAGGTATTTTATTTTTAATTATTTAATAACATAATTCATTTTCCATAATTTTCAGTTTCATATTAGTCCCAAAGAAAAACATTCGTTTTGTAAAAAAAAATACCATCGGCGTATTTACTATCGGCGTAGATACTCATCGGCATTTTTTCCGTCGGCGTAGATGCCGTCGGCGTTGATACCGTCGGCGTAAAGACATGGAACCCTTACTTCAATATTATCAGGAAATGTATTCAATATTTCATTTAGATTGTCCATATTAATGTCATCACCTTCATCTAGTTCTTCTAGGTCTGATATATCCCCTTGTAATAACTCAGCCACTTCTTCATCACTTAGTTTTTCCCCCATGTTTCTAGTGACTATGGCAACATCAAAAAAGAAATCTAAACAACAAAATGTTCATGATTCCAAAAATTATCATTGGGAATTTGAGTCAAAATTTAAAAAAAAATTTAATTGCTTGTTTAATCCCAATGATTATTTTAAGAATCATCGTGTTTATGATACTATAATGAAAAAACTATAAGAGTTAGATCTATAATAATACTTTAACTAGAAAGATGAAGTAATTTTTAACATGTTTAAATTTTTTTTTAATTGATAAGGCTAAAATAACTTACCTTTTAATTAATATTTAAAATTTGGTTTCTTGCACCGTGGTTGATTATTGATGACGAAAACAAACTGACAGTTTAGTATCACTTAATCATTCAAATAAGAAAAAACAGTGTTCCCATTAGAAAGAGTAGAACATTTCTCATTTATTTATGTGTATTTAGTCTTTATTGGAAAATTGTGGGCTGTTTAATACGTCATTGATGTACAGTGAAACCTCCCTTGACGGACACCTCTAAATAGCGGACGTTTTTTTGGGGACGGGAACATTTTCACTATTTATGTATGGGAAAACTTCTAAATACAGGACACTCTAAATAACAGACACTTTTATGACGTTGATATTAGTTATTTTTATCTTAAATTAAGAATTATTTTGGAATACCTGAATAAAAACCTGAACCATTAAGTTATCTTATGTGTACATTATTATACTGTATATGAAAATCTTATCTTATCCGTTCAGTCATTGAAATATTATCGCGTCAACGAAGTATTATAACTATAATGCATTGTCCTATGTACGTTTAGTTGTGTTTGTGATGCCAACGTTTATTGTAGTGCGAATTTATTATACGTATTGTTTATACGAACTTTATTGCACTATGGCTAGCAAAAGAAAACGATTAACTTTAAAAGAAAAAATAGACATTCTGGAATTTCGAACATCAAATACAATGGGCGTTCGTGCATTAGCAGACAAATTTAGTGTTAGTAAAACACAAATT